TTCGCTGCAACGTTGCAACGCTGAATTATCATTATTATCATTATTATTATTACTACTACTATTATTATTATTCTGTCCCTTGACTGGACAGAGACGCCAAACTGCCAATTTGATATTTACCATTTTCTAATTAACTTACCAAGAATAATTTTGCAATTAAACCGATCGAACCACCGTGGTGGCCACTGGTTGCTTCAAAGTTACTTTAGAAGCTGTGTCCGCCTTGTACAATCAAAATTGGAGCAGTTGAACAAGAATTTTGTTATTTGAATAACTTGAACGATGAATGTTCGCGATGTCCCTTTTTCCGAGAGTATTTACATTTGCAAGCAGATTTTTTTCCCCCACACACAGGAAATGAAATGAGAAGAAAAATTTTAGACAAATCGTCGTGAAGATACTCTTCGTATTGCCAGCACTTGTATCAAACGAAATTGTATCTGATGAACTGGTATGCTAAGAGACAAGCTCAGCGTTGTCGTGAAAAATTTTCGTACTTTTTTATGATTCATTAATGACAGATATATCTTTCCAATCAAAGTATCGTATCGCTTCGGCAAAGAATACCCTCGTTCATTATATTGAACTGATAGAAAAAAAAAAAAAAAAAAAATATGTAAACTACGCGCAGTCCTCGACAAATTTTTGATCGAGAAAAGCACAGCAATGGCTTTGGAACAACACGGTAAAACTGTTTCAACAAGCGCATGGAGATTCGCGAGATCTAACGAGAGTAGAGTCGTTAGCGTAAAGCAAAGCGCGTCGTTCAACTGGGAAGGAAGAGGAAAGGACTTTCTCCGAGAGGAGATTCTTACACGCTTTCCCCCTGATATCGTATCTCTGCATGTTTCCGAATGTTTTACGCAAGGACAACTACTACTACTTGCGTTTCACGTAATTCCAATATTCCTTCGATGTATCTCGAATTGGGCTGTTTGGTCTTTGCCAAGAAATTATTCCTTCGGTCGAAATTTCCATCTCTCTCTCTCTCTCTCTCTCTCTCTTTCGGTTACACGGTTCGCAAACGCGTACGCGCCGATGCAATGTTAAGGTCGTTCAATCTGCGCGTAACGAGACGTAATGGAAATTGGCGATCGTCGACGCGAAATCTGGGTCAAGTTGACGACCGGTTTTTAAGCAAAGTATCGGCACGCGGTGGTGGTGGTGTTTGAAATCTTTCTGCGAATGATCGAAACACGATCGAAACACGATCGAAGCGCCATATCTCAATTGTTCTCCCTCGAACGTTGCAAACGCAAAAACGAGACTCTCTGAAAGAGAGAATGCAGGACGAGTGGAGCTAGCTCGCCGCGGGTGTCGATAGTCGATCGACGCGATCGCATCGCGGGCATCGGTGAGAATGCAGGCTATCGAAGTGAAATCTCCAAGTTGCAAAACATCCTCTCGACGTAAGGTCGAACACGACCAGCCCGTTCAATGTTAAGG